CAGTACTCAAAACAGACCCCCCCAAAAGGCTGAAAGACATCGCCTGAGTTCATTTGGATCTTTGAATTGTCTCTCCTTTAGAAGGGATCTAATGAGCCGGTCTGCCTCCCCTTCTCTCGGGCAGACCAGCTTTTCTGCCTCTCTGACCACTTGCAAGCTCTTGAGAAGCTGATGAAAGCATCTGGGTGCCGCTTCTTGTGCTCCTCTTGGCAAGTTTGCACACAGAATGCATATGGTAACATTTTGCTTCTCTACTTTGCCTCTGTTGGGTTCTTTTTCTTCATGTGGATCCTGACTTTCAGGCTCTTCCCACTAGAGCAGCAATCATAGCCTCTACCCACTAGAGGACATGAGCACCATTGCCCCGGTTCTGAGAACTAAACAGGTCTTCAGACATGGGGAAATGTCCCAAAGGGGATTAAGTCACCTGCAGTTGAGATCAATTTGGTCTAGAGCTTCCTTGTCTTGAAGGCCCAAAATTACTCTTGTGGGAGGCATTGTCATTTGTTCCTTGATAGTGTTTCATTCATGAACGTTTAATTCTTTATGGCTTTAATATGAAAGTTGTGTTACGTATAAAAATTACTCATATCCCGTAGCCACAAGAATTAATATCTATGATTTAAAAATATCCTTTGCCCTTTAGAAGGACAGAAGGCAGTGAATCAAAAAAATTTATGTAGGATATCATTTCTGAATTTAGAAATAATAAAAATAACTTTCATGGCATTTGCAATGTCTGCATTTTGACTGAGTGCTTTGAGTTTGAGCTGTTACAGTATCCTCTGTGATGTCTTTCAGGTAAGTGACTATCTGAGCCTACAGAATTCAGAATATGCTAGGAAATCCACAGTCCTCAGGATTCCTAGTTCATCAGGTTGTTACCAACTGCTTGCCATGTTCTAGGTCCTCTGCTAGGATCTATAAAGATTATCTCATCTAAATCTTATAATAATCTTTATTTTAAAGACAAAGAAAGAAATTTAGAATGCAGATTAATTAGTTCAAGATACATGGAGGTAGTGATTCTGACACAAACTCCCAGGCCAACTGGGTCTGCCACTGCCATCAGTATTCCCATTCTCTTCATGATCCCTGCAAACACTTCATTTGTGCCTCATGGAATATTCAGCTCTTTTTGTTGTTGTTGTTTAAAGGAAAGGCAAATTATAGAGAGGAGCAGAGATAAAGATCTTCCTTTCACTGATTTACTTCCCAAATGGCCAGGACAGCCATAGCTGATCCAATCTGAATCCAGGAGCCAGGAGCTTCTGGGTCTCCCATGCAGGTGCAGGGTCCCAAGGACTTGGGCCATCCTCTGTTGCTTTCCCAGCATAGATAGTTGAATGGGAAATGAAGCAGCTGGACTACAAAGCAGCTCCCTTATGGGATGCTGGTGCTTGCAGACTGAGGATTAGCGTCTTGAGCATCTCGCTGGCCCCTGAGTATTAGACTTTAAACTGATGCTAAGGAAATGCTGGAGCAGGAAGGAAGCAATGAAGGGAAAAAGGCTCCTCTTTACCTCCAGGTTACTGCTGAAAACTGGAACAGTGTTTGAGGCCTCTGAATCATTCAAGCAAAAGGTTAAGAGTAACTACAATAATAGAATATTCATACTTCTGACTTTGGTAAGCTTAAAGGATTTTGAGTATTCATGTAATATTTACCTCCATTTAACATTAAAACATTACAGCAGGCGAGTGCTTGGTGCAGTAATTAAGACTCCACTGAGATGCTCTGCTTCTAGCTTTCTGCTAATGCACTAGTGCTTTGGTTCCTATATATAGGAGACCCAATTGAGTTTTCGACTTCTGGCTTTGATCTGGCCCAGACTCAACTATTGTAGGCATTTGGGGAGTGAACCAGAACATGGAATGTCATTCTTTGCTTTTACCTTTTTCCTGCCAAATATGTACATTTAAAAAAAATCAGAAATGCATTAGCTATCTAACAAAAGGAGAGTGGCTAGGATGAAAACTTAGTAATCTCTGAACTCCTAGACTGAAAAGAAGGAACAACTGCAAACACATAAGCACATTCTCAATCAATGGGAGGAAAGGAAACACCTGCATGAAAGTTCTCTACCATGCCACACAGATTCGAAAGGAACCAAGAAGGGAGAACTGATGATTTTCTCTTCATTGCCGCTTTCTGGGCTTAAACAGAAACTGCCTGTCTAGGGCTAGAGGAAAACACTGTTCTAGGTTGCAGTTCTTTTGTCTTCTGTTTCCTGCTTCTCTTAACTCTCTCTCTCTTCCTGTGTTTATCTTCCTAGTTAAAATGTTAAAATAAGACTTTTCCACTTCACATCTAGTATACACATTGCTTCACTCCTTATGAATAAGTGGCATCTTTTTGAAACTAGAACAGAAAACAGTGTTTCCATATCATATTGTAAGGTGTACATCGTACAAGAACTGTAGAGTTCTAGATAGCTCCTCCCAGCCACTTGAATTTATTTCCATTTAATTCAATGAAAGGTTTTCTGCAACTAGTCAATCACATTAATAGGAGTTGTTAGAATTTTATTTACTTTCAGTTTGCTGTCATTGGCCTTTTGTTAACAACTTCATGGCTTGACACAAAGAGAGCATTAAACAGAGCACACATAGCCACAGCTTTCAGGAGACTTCCGGGGATTTGCTTACCCATGCCTTCTTCATGCTGGCAGCAAACATGTATATGCCTTCTATGTTTAAATATTATAAACCTGGTTAACTTACACAGAATTCCATTCTGTACCTACCTTTCCAATGAGGTAAAATAAAAATTCTCTTTCTAATCCACATGGCCTTTTAGAAATTTCTTTTGCATTTTTAAGAAAAATGAACATTTGGTTTTAATAATAGTATTAATTAATAGAAATTATAGTTAATAAGACTAAAGAATGATGTTGCTGCAGAAAAAATGTTCCAATTGGGCACCTGGAAATCTGAACAAATTTAAAAATTGGAGCCAAGAGTTGCTTTGCATTTAGCAGCAAATGTTGTTTTGAGGGTCTCATTAAATTAATGGTGAAGACAATAATGGTTGTGATGCTGATAGAGCAGAGCTGATGTTTGTTACTCAACAGAATGAATTAAATTTCACATTTCTCCCAGGGCCATAACCAATAGGCCAAAGGCCTGCTCCTGATTATTTAAAAAATTGTGTCATAGAATACAAAATAGTCAGAAGAGATGGTTTTGAATATTCGCATCACAAATCATGAATGTTGGAGCTCTTGGGCAACTGCAGTGTCTTGATGTCCTGTATTTCTTCTGAGAAGGTATGGTGGGCAGCCTTTATTGGCCAGAGTGTGCTTTGGGTGGTCAGGCAGCAGGTCAAGGAGAGCACGGACAGCTGTGCTGGTGGCTTTCCTAGGCACATGGTGGAGAGAGCCTCCTGGACTCAGAGCAGCTTTGCCTCAATGAGGAGGAGTTCCAGTCTACTCTCACACAGGGAGGACCCCTGCACTTAACATTTGGTACCTTTAATTCATGAGATGAAAGAATTTGATTCTGCTTTCCCCCCAAAGTTTTGGGGCTCAGCACAGTAGCCTAGCTACTAAAATCCTTGCCTCGCACATGCCAGAATTCCATATGGATGACGGTTTCCAGTCTCCTCCCTGCTTGTGTCCTGGGAAGGCAGTCAAGGACAGCCCAAAGCCTTGGAACCCTGTACCTGCGTGGGAGACCTGGAAAAAGCTCCTGGCTCCTGGCTTTGGGTCAGCTCAGCTCCAGCCGTTGCAGCCACTTGGGGGAGTGAAGCAGTGGATGGAGGATCTTCCTCTCTCTCTCTCTCTGTCCCTCTCTCTCCCTTCCTCCTCTCTGTATATCTGACTTTCCAATAAAAATAAATCTTTAAAAATTTTTTTATATTAGAATTCATTGTAACTTTGTAATTCTGAATAACCTCCAGTTCATCTCAGGTTTACTATTTTGCTGAGACAGTTTTTGACAATCTTGATACATTAGAATTTAACTGTTAAAGTTCCAATGGCTTTATATATAGTTACTAGCTATAAATTGTCAATTGGAAGAAATTGTTTGAGTATATTCTGTATTGCAGTATCAGAGAAGGCTTAGAAGTAGAGTCTGTCTAAATAGAAGCAGAAGGTGTGTTTGGACCTTGCTGTCTTTAAACCACAGTTGTCTTGGAGTAAAGAAAGGTCAGAGTTTTTAGATCCTCTTCCTTAAGAAGTAGTCCCCTCAATTGAAATGTGTGAGGGAAGGATTTTTTTTTTTTTGTGCTTGTAGTTAAAATTGATAGTTGTTGCCAAAATTGGGCATCCTTTTTAAATACAAGAAAAAAATTTAGCTCAAAGATGGTGGAACATCAACTCTCATTGTATGTAGCATCCAGCCAAGGAGACTCTCAGAGCACTGAGTATGTGCCAAGGGATATTAGGAGAAAACATGGTCCCTACCCTTGCCTGATGGCGCAGTGAGACAGCTCAGAGTCATTTGGCCAACCCTACATTGCATGTGTTTTATTTAAACATTGACCCTGCCTGTTAAAAATCAAGTTATAGAGACAGAGTCACAGCACTCTCTGGAACAGCAAAGCACTGCATCATTTGCCATCATCACAGGATGCAGGCACCAAATGGACACTGTTGGGAATTACTCTACTAAGAAATTCATTAAAATTCCTATGCTTTTTGGGCTCTTCCTTCTCTGTTTCTCAGTCATCATAAGCCTCAAAGATGGTGTCAAAAAGAGACAGAGGGAATAACAACAAAATATAAATTTAAGTACGATTCGTGGATGAAAAGGGACAGTCAGAGAGGCACCTGAAGGGGTCTAGCTGAGCTCCTAGACAACACTCAGCCCATTCCTATGGTGAGATGGACTCTGAATATCCCTGACTTCCAATATATTACATTAAAAAATAATAATAGTCACAGTTAACCACAGCTTGAAAGACAATTTGAATCCTTCTATGAATGTGCAGAAAAGCCAAAGAAATTCAGGCAGAGCTAATGAAAAAAGAAATAAATGGCAAAACTCATGAGTTACCTTTGTGAGGATAAACCGAGATGCAGATGCCTCTAGAAGACTTGTTCAGCTGTCTGCAGCCTTCCTGCTGAGCACAGGGGAAGGAAGAGTTGTGCCACTCTGACCAAGAAATCCTCCTGAGGTCACGGGGCCTGGGCCTCTGGCCAGCTTTGAGAGCCTGCACGTGTGAAGACTCCTTAGGCTCTGTTCTCACTCTGAGTCACTGCTTGTGACACTGAGTGATGACTCAATCTCTCATCAATGGGTAAAGAAAGCCAAGAAACTGGAGATCACGTGTTTCGAAAGGAATTGATGGTATCTTTGGTGAACTCAGCTGAGCAGCTCACAGAATGAATTCCATACATGTGCAAATGCTGGAGCACATTCGCCAGCAGGAATAATGCAACATATTTTGTGAATGGTCCAGGGCATTGCTGTCATAACTTAATTCTTGAGTTAGGATTGGTTTTCATGTTCTTTCTTGTAGCCTACCTTTGCTTCTCCTAAGGAGAAGTTAGTCCTTGAAGATTTTCTTTTACTGTTTTTAAAAAAGATTGAGGAGCAGGGAGATCAAAACAATTTAATGAAACATGGTTGGAGATTACCTATTGGTTTTAATTTATATTTTAAAGTATGGCAAGCTAGCATACCTGTGGTCTCTGCATATGTGCCCTCTTATAATGGGAAAGGACACCTTCCTCTCTCCCAGAGTTGCTCTGTTTAGAACATTTCATAGATGTTCTGGCATGTCCTGGGGCTTTAGTGGGAAGAATTGAGGCTCTGGGTGACAAAGATGAGGAAGGGCCTAATCTTTCCCCTTCAGCCTTCTAATCTGCCACCCGATTCTACTCATATAGATTGGTAGAAACTCTTCTCCACTGCCGTTTTTTATTTTCACTTTCACTGTATGTGGCTTATGGCTGTGTTCATTGCATTTTCCAGGTTTTGTGTTCCTTCTTTGGAATTCTAGCCTCTTGACTTTGGCCTGGTCTAGCTCTGGCCATTTAGGGAGTGAACCAATGTAGGGAAGATGTTTCTGTATCTCTCTCTCTAACTCTTCTTTCTGTCACTCTTCCAAACAAATAAATCTTTTAAAAAGAAAAATACAACTCATGATGCCTCAGCTGGGGAGAGCATGTGAATAAACACATCCATCTGGGCACAGATGAGACACACTGTCACCTTTGGAATTAAATGGGTGGGGTGGCATTATTGCCAAGTGGGTAAAGCTGTTTCCGGCAGTACCAGCATCCAACATGAGTACTGATTCATGTTCTGATGCTTCACTTCCTATCCAGCTTCCTGCTGATGACTAGGCAAAAGCAGTGTAAGATGGTCCAAGTGTGTGGGCCCTGCCATCCACGTGAGATGCTTGATAAATCTTTTGGTTTCAGTCTGACCAAGGACTGGTCATTGCAGCCACCTGGGGCATGAATTAGAAACTGAAAGATCTTTCTCTTTCTTTCTCTCTTCTTCTCCCTCTCTATACTCTTTCAAATACATAAATACATCTTTTAGAAGTAATTAATAAAATGGGGAATCTTTTCTTCTCTAAAAGAACAGCAGCAAAAACCTAAAGCTTAAAATGTACTCAGGTAAACACGGGGCCCCAAATGTTCCAAACACATTTCTTCCCCTTTGTCACTCCCCATGTCAAAGTAAGGTTTAAATATAAAATCCCCTAAAGAAACCACATTGATGTCAATCCGCATATAGAAAGCTGCAAAGCCATTAACACTGGATGCTTCCTGTGGACAGGTTAGGGTCCCTGAGAGGTGGACAGAACCTCAGACAGCGTGAGAGTGAAGGGAAAAGGAGCATGAAAGCTTGTAACAAGAATAAGTTTTGTGTACTCAAGAATCCAACAAAGTTCTGTTTTAAAAACTTCCCAAATAGACTCTTGAGTCAAATATTTAGACTGATCTGCCCTTTAGGGAACTGGAATTCTTGTCTTGTTATTTAATAGTTCCTCAATCCCAGTGTACAGAATTTAAGAGATCAAGAGATCAGTCTTAGTGTCTGTTTGTTAGGGTTAGAGCCCTCCATTCTTCTTGTTCAGTTAAGGGAATCATCTGTAAGCAGTGCCTACTGCAGGTTGTAACTGTGGTGGTGTGGCAATTCAACTTAAGGATTAAGCTGTCTTTTTTTCTACCCCTTTACAATACAACTTTATTCAGAACGCTTCTTATAACAAACTGCTTGTCATCAAAGGTGATATGCCAGTATAAAAACACCCAAAGTTAAATTACCATTTGAGTTTTTTGCTATTTAAAAAATACCAGAAGGTTGTACTGTGAATTTCGTCCAAATGTAATTTCAGTTTTTCATAATTAGACTGTAATGATATAGACATGAGGCTAGATCCTACCACCAACAAAATGCTTTTCAGAAATGGTTCTTTTTTCTTCTAGGTCTATAGCTTGCCCATATTTTTGCCTTTGTTATTATTTTCCAAGTAGCAGAACATATCCAGATCAAAGAATACCCAAACCCAAGGCTGTCTTAGGTAATATTCAGTAGGCGTCTTGTAACTACACAGGATTGTGATGGTTTAAACAGCAGCCAATCCCGGAATCAGAGTCATATGGAGAGGAGCATTTACCCTACGGGGCAGACTGGTCGATTGTGTTTCCATTGTGAAACTTGCCAGAATTCTGAGGCTGTTGTTATATATTGACTTCCTCCTTCCTGATATACAAATATAATCTTTTATTTCAAGGTACTATCAGTGCAGTGTGTTTCTGCGTAAGTATAAATTAGTCTTATGACTTCACATTTTTATAGGCATACTTTGTCTTTTTCCTCCTTTCTTTGGCAATGGACAGTTCTTTTATTTCCATACTAAAGGGAACGTGGCCCTGGGTCACCCTATTTATACCATCAATACCTTTGACATGCATAGATAGACTTGGTCAAAATTAGGAGCCCTGTTACTTATTTAGTTTTTCATGACTCTCCTAAATGCAAAATGAAGCTGAGTTAATCTTTTGTACTTCCACATGTAAAATCCTTAGAAATATTAATAGTTAAGGACTGAGTCATAAAGACGTTCATGGATTTTTTTGAAGAAAGATTTTCCTTATTTGCAGAATAGAGATTCTTTCAGATTATCCAAAGTGGTCCTAGGTTGAACAATAGGGTGAAGAGTATTATATGGGATGTCTTTGTTCTGGAAATGCAGTCCCAGCTAAAGAGAAGACGAATGACAATGGAGATAATAGATGACCAGAAAAACTAAGAATTCCTAGTAACGGGGAGACTTGTGAGACATCAGGGTGGAGGCTTAGTAAGCAAACTGTGGCTCTCAAAGAGAGAAGGAGGCAGTACTCCTTTTGTGTGACCATTATTACATGAAGAACACTAAGACATTTTTCTTGGCTTAAGGTTGATCCTCTTGTTGAGTTTCCTGGTTTCTTTCAATTCTAGACTTCTTTTTCCCAGAATCTTCCCTGACATGAGGAAAGGAGTAAATGAAATTAAGAGCCACTGCTAGACATATCTGTGCAATATGAAAAGTACTGTGTAGTATGAAAGAATTAACTGGGAGCCATGAAGAGCAGTTAGAGATGATTCTAAGCAGTTAGACCTAACTTCTTCAGACCTTATTTTAGAGTATTCTCAGCTGCTGATCAGCTGCTGGTGCTGGAAGTTTCCTGTTACCAGTGAATAATATTTGCACAGGAATCTCAGGAACCTGCAAACAGCTGAGCTCCATTATGAGGAAATCTCCAGACTGGCTGACATCCTGGAAAATCTGGTTCGACCACCATCAGAACATAGTCTGAAAATCTGCTTAATTCTCCATTGACTGAACTCATTGTTTTCTCTAACCTTTGCCTGTTTCCAATCCATCCCCTTGAAAACCCTTTATGTTGGCATGTTGTGGGGAAAGGGCATGTTTTGGATCCAGAGATTGCTTACCCCCAACACAGCTGGCTACTTGAAATAAACACTTCTCTTTCCAACACCAATCTGCAGTAAGTGAGCAGCAAGGGCCTTTTTTTTTTTTTTTTTAAAGATTTATGTAGTTTCATTGAAAGTCTAAATTCAAAGAGACAATTTACCCCAATAGCCAGAGCTCAGCACCAATAGCTGGAGCTGAGCTACTTGGTGATAATAAGTAGCTGTTACATTTTTTGAGGTGATATTGTGAGTATGGTTCTTTAATGAAACAGTATTCTTTTGATTCCATTATATGCCTAATTAGCCTAAATAATATAATGCCTGGGAATTGTTTCAGAATAAAATGGGGCTGAGAGGAATAGGTGAGGGTGTGACTGGGGCAGAATGAACTCTGGGTTGGTGATGAGATTGCTGAAGGGTGTGTGAGCTGTTGATGTTCGCTTATTTGCTTTTTTTAAAAAAATATTTATTTATTTAGTTTTATTGCAAAGGCAGATATACAGAGAGAAGGAGATACAAAGATTCTCCATTTGCTGGTTCACTCCCAAAGTGGCTGCGACGGCCAGAGCTGAGCTGTTCTAAAGCCAAGAGCTGGGTGCCTCCTCTGGGTCTCCCATCCAGACACAGGGTCCCAAGGCTTTGGGCCATCCCCTACTGCTTTCCCAGGGCACAAGCAGGGAGCTGGATGGGAAGTGGAACATCCAGGATACAAATCAGCACCTGCATAAGACTCTGGTTCATGCAAGGCAAGGACTTTAGCCACTGGTCTACTGTGCCAAGCTTTGTCCATCTAATTGTAAATATATTTGAAATGATCGGTAATAAGAATTTTTTTTAAAGTCATATATACAGAGAGGAGGAGAGATAGAGAGAAAGATCTTCTGTCCGATGATTCACTCCCCAAGTGAGCACAACAGCCGATGCTATGCCGATCCGAAGCTAGGATCCAGGAACTTCTTCTGGGTCTCCCACACGGGTGCAGAGTCCCAAGGCTTTGGGCCATCCTCGACTGCTTTCCCAGGCCACAAGCAGGGAGCTGGATGGGAAGTGGAGCTGCCGGAACCAGAACCGGCACCCATATGGGATCCCGGCACATTCAAGGCAAGGACTTTAGCTGTTAGGCCACGCCGCCGGGCCCAATGTAATAAGAAATTTAAATTACAATTGTGAGCAGTGATTTGGACACTGACCCTAAAAGACCCTGCCATCTTGGACCTAGCACTTCTTGCTTTCCCTTCCCAC